TCCAAAGAGTGGGACTGGCCAGTGAATTAAGCAGGCACTCACTTAAGTGAGCAGAAGGATGTGAATAAGGGGAAAGAAAATGAAAGGCTAGCTTTGAAATATTTCTGCAGTGCCCCCATTTCCTGAGAACACACAAACCAGAATAACTAGATCTCAGGTTATACAACCTACCAGATAGATGCTAGGCAGATCCTAACACATCATGAAAACAAAATTGAACAAAACAAAACTTGCCTTGAAAGCACCAGCCATATTCTGAGGTCATAGTTAAATCTGAAAAGTGTGAGACTTCCCAGGACTTCAGTTGCTATGCTCAGAGAAAGGTGGGAAGGTGGCACCAGTTTTTTTCTCATTATTATTTCCAGTAATAACAAAATAACTATATGGAAATCAAAAGAAAAAATTGAATTAAAATCTAACAACACATCAACCCATTTCCAAATTTCTATAGAATATACCAGTCTGTAAATTATATATACATTATAGGCAGAGACTGGTGTACCAAAGAATTCAAGAAAAAACTTGTTTTTCAAAACGTACTTTAACAACTAGCTTCCAAAAGTGAATTACAATTATAGCAGTACACACACAGAACTATCTAATAAAAAAATTCTTTAAGATCACAGCAGAAATAAACAAAATAGTCTTAAAAAACAAACAAACAAAAAAACAAAGATCAATGAAACCAAGAGCTGGTTCTTTGAAAAGATACATAAGAGTGACAAACATTTAAACCAGACTCATCAAGAAAAAAAGAGAGGACCCAAATAAGTAAAATAAAAAATTAAAGAGAAGTAACAACTGACACCAAAGAAATACAAATGATTGTAAGAAAATATGAACTATAAGCCCACAAATTCGACAATCTGGAAGAAATGGATAAATTCCTAGAAACATACAATCTTCCAAAACTGAATCGGGAAGAATCAGAAAATCTGAACAAACCGGTTACAAGTAATGAAATTGAAGTAGTAATAAAAAACAAACAAACTCCCAAAAACAAAAGTCCTAGAACAGAGCTTCACAGGTGAATTTTACCAAACATTCAAAGAACTAGCACCTATCCTTCTCAAACTAGTCCAAAAAATTCAAGAGGAGGAAAGATTCCCAAGCTCATTTTACGAGGCCAGCATTATCCTAATTTCAAAACCAGATAAAGACACTACAAAGAGAGAAAATTATAGGCCAATATCCCTGAAACATAGATGCTAAAATCCTTAACAAAATATTAACAAACCAGATCCAGTGATATATTAAAAAGATCATGCCACATGATAAAGAGAAATTTATTCCTGGGATGCAAAGTTGGTACAATATCTGCAAATCAATTGAATGTGATACATCACATACAGAAAATGAAGGACAAAAATCACACGATCATATCAATAGATGCACAAAAAGCATTTGATAAAATCCAGCACCATTTATGATAAAAACTCTCAGCAAAGTGGGAATAGAGGGATCATACCTCAATGTAATAAAGGTAAACCCACAGCCAACATCATATTCAACGGGCAAGAAGGCAGGGATGTCTGCTTCCACCACTCTTATTCAACCTAGTACAGGAAGCCCTAGCCACAGCCATCAGACAAGGAAAAGAAATACAAGGCATCCAAATTGGAAAGGAAGAAAAATTGTCATTATTTGCAGATGACATGATATTGTATATAGAGATCTTTAGATTCCAGCAAAAAACTGCTAGATGTGATAAATGAATTCAGTAAAGCAATAGGATACACAATAAATACCCAGAAATTAGTTGCATTTCTACATATCAATAATGAACTATCAAAAAGGGAAACTAAGAAAATAATCCCATTTATAATTGTATAAAAAAAAAAAGACAAAACAAAACAAAACAAAAAATAGGAATACATTTAAACCAGAATGTAAAAGACCTGTACTCGGAAAACTGTAAGATACTGATGGGAGAAACTGAAGAAGATAAAAACAAGTGGAAGCATATACCATGTTCATGGACAGGAAGGATTGATAAAATGTCCATGCTACACAAATTGACAACATATCCATGCTACCCAAAGCAATCTATAGATTCAACGCAATTCCTATCAAGACATCAATGGCAAATTTCACAGAACAAGAACAAAGATTTCAAAAATTGCAATGGAACCCCCCAAAAAAACCCCAATAGCAAAAAAGAACCTGGATTAGGCAAAAAAAACCAAAAAATCCCCCCCCCCCGAAAAACCTCACTGACAACTGTATGGAGATTACTGGAGGGAAGAAGGGTGGGGGGAGGTAGGAGAGAGTAAAGAGGGGATAAATGGTGATGGAAGGAGACTAGACTTGGGGTGGTAAAACACACAATACAATACACAGATGATATATTATAAACTGTACACCTGAAACCTATATAATTTTATTAACCAGTTACCCCAATAAATTCAATAAAAAATAAATTCTTTCTGAAACCACCTCCCTACCAGAATGGGGCCAAAAATCTTCCCACCTAGCTGACGAAGGCAAAAATATATCAAAACTAAAGAGCCCAGAACTAGCTGATTATTTACCAAAAAACCCCGTAATAATTCTGAAACTACCCCATTTTTTCAAAGTTGTAAAATGATAAAAGCTGTGAGAATATGAAGGTGGCCTGTGAGACTGGGAATTAAGTTGGTCCTAACAAAGTTTTTAGCAGTTCTTCAAAAATTTTCTATCTTAATCCTCCAACTAGTAAACATACCTCTCAGACTCAGAGTTTTAGAAAATGGCAATGAACTGGATAATCTAGCACTAAAATTTTCAACAACTACTATCCTATTAACTTTGAAAGTGGAAAGACATGAATAGGCTCCCTGGGGTCATGCATCATCTTCCTTGGTGGGAAAGTACCCCATTTCTGTGCAGCCTTCTTGAATCCTAACCTCCAAGATACTCTTTTCTCCATAATACTCAGGCTGGTGAAGATAAGAATCATTGCTCAGGCTGCTGCTGTCCTTTATAAAAAGAAATCTCCCATATCTCTGACCTTATGAGTAGACTAGCAAACCCATAGGATGTAAGATGCCTGTAACATTTGAAGAAATAAACTATTTGACTGCTTCTTTGTGCTTGGGGGGGGGGGGACGACTCTAGAAGTAAAGAGAATAAGGAAGACTGATAAACTAGGGGAATAAAGGCAGCTATATCCTATAGTGTACTCAAGTCAGCTCTGAAATTCACCCAAATGTGTGGCTCACTGCCTAAACCAACATATACATCTGGTAATAATAAACACTGATAAGTCATAAACAAAAACGGCTTTCTCAATTCAAAGACTCTACAACCATTGGTAACATTAAAATTTACATAAAACACAATCAAGCAATTTGTGTGAAATAGATTTTTTTAAAAATAGTATTTCAATTTAAGTTACTACACAATGAAAAACTGGTATTTTACTGCCTGGTCTTCAAAAGACTAAGAAGCCACTATCTTTGATTTTACCAAGTTACAAATCTGTTTTCAGTAGAGAGAGAAAACATATTGCCTCTGTTAACCCAAAGGACAAAAAAGATCATCACTGCAAATCATAATGTTTGGGTTCATGATGAAAACAGGAAACAGACAGGCTGCCCAGGTATAATTATGGTTATAGTCTAATGTGCCTTCAGGTTCAGCCAAGAATTAAAACCCAGTGAAGATGGTAAGGAGAATTTACTTGCCTCTACCTTGCAACAGAAGGCAACTTTTAATAATACTCCCAGCAACATGTTACATAACCAACAGTAAACAACAATCTGATTCAAACCTCATTAGTAACAACATTCTGCCACTGTCTCCCACTGAAATTAATAGCTGACTTTGCCAGAGGGAAAAGAAATGCCGCACGTATCAATCTACCCATTTCTGTGGCGCCTACCACAGTGAACCAGACAAGTAGATAATACCACCAAAACTACACAGATTCTACAAAAATTATTTTATTCTTTTCTTTTCCAGCTCTCGGCTCTCTTCCTCCTTTTAACCATATCACAGCATATGGATGCATTTAAAATCTAAGAGGAAAGTCAGTTAAGAAGGTTCATCTAACTTTTACAGCCTATTTCCACTATGATCTGAAAGAAACAGAAACATAAATAACGAATGGATTTTTGTATCAAAGATAAACCAGTCTAGTTTACGCCAATAACAGCAGCTGTGTAAAAAGGAAAAGCACATTGAGGGAGCAGCAATGAAGAGGGGGAAGGAAAGGAGGATGCTATAGACAATCATGTGAACAATCATAAACAAAAATTAAATTAAAAACAAACAAAATATGTACTACTTCTTTCAAGGTTACATGTTAACTTGTCTCTTATGAGTTGTTTTGTATTCCTGTAAATCTCTGGGTTCACCTTAGAAGAAAAAGAGTTAGCAAAGGAGTAAAAAAAATAAAATATAATAATTTGTTCAAATCTAAAAATAATTCCTTACTTAATTTGGAACCCACTAATTTCATATAACACTATGTGGGCCAATAAATGTGAAACTATTGCATTGTGTATAGCTACTGTTTTCTGGTATCAAGCAGAAATTTTAAGCTACTTGGATGTTACTATACCTACTAGGACTAAGGTTTTCAACTTTTCGGCTTTCAAATTAACATTAAGAACTAATTAACTCTGGGCAGTTTGGGTACTCTAAAGAAACTCAAGTACTGTACTCTAGTTTAAAAAACATTTAAAAAAAAAGAATTTTAAAAAACAGCAACTCAAGTACCCTTTCCTCTCAACTTGTATGAGGCCAAGCCACAACCTCCACCTATCCAGCCTTTGTTGCTAGATAAGAACACTTTTGGTAGTGCTAGGCAACAGGCATGATGTGACAAACTCAACCAGACAAAACTTTTTCCATAGAAAGATAAGGTAAACAAGATATACTTAGCACCACACCCATTTCAAGGCACAAGCGACCAGGAAAGCTTTTTTTTCCCTCTCTCTAGACCTCCAGCTGGTCAGGAAACAATGTCTCTACAATCAAGATAGAGATCTGGCCCAGGGTGTTCAGGCATTCCTCACCTCCAGGCTGGCCTACAGCTCCACTCTCCAATGCCATCAAAACCAGAATTGGAACATTTTGTTAGGAAGCGGGCAAAGGTCCAAATACTCGACTATCCTCGTCCCAGTTCTTTTTGCAACCAAAATGTTTTGGTTACTGAGCATGCTCCAACTTAAGACGGGCGCCACATGGGAGTTTTCAAAGCTTAGTATCCAAACTCCACGTAATAACAGCAGCTGAAAAGGGAAGAGAGGAAAAGGGGAGGGGAAGGAGGAGAAACCGGAATATGAATCTTGAGGACTGATATCGAGGTGAAGGGCCCGGGCACAGTGCTTGGCACTCTCCGCGTAGCTATGCACAAGTTTCACATGAAGTAGAAGAAACCTTTGCAGCGGTGAAAACTGGCATGGCAAGTGGCAGAAATCAGGTCTAACACCCAGCTGAGTGCAGTAGCAGGTCACAACCGCCCAGAGTGTAATTCCCACCGATAAGCGTGGATCCTTATCTTTGAAACACAAAGCGACGGCGGCACGGATTCATCAAGCCATTGGACAGCCTGCAGTGGAGCTGACCAGGCTGCTCCGCCGAGCACGGCGATCGTACCAGAGTGGTGCTCAGATGAGGAAGAACAAACCGATCCTCGGGACAGAAGCGGGGCCCGGGACCCCTCCGGGGCGTCCCGAACGCCTCCCTCCACAGTCCCGGCGCCAGCCGCGGCACAGGACTAGGACCCGCCTCCGCTCCGCCTCAAGACGCCCCCGGCCGCAGGCGAGGCCTCCGCGGGCAGACGGGCCGCCCCATCCCC